CTCGGGAGGCTGAGGCAGGAGAATGGCGTAAACCCGGGAGGCGGAGCTTGCGGTGAGCTGAGATCGCGCCACTGCACTCCAACCTGGGCAACAGAGCGAAACTCCATCTCAAAAAAAAAAAAAAGAAGGAACAGACATATTTTGCCAATGGTGCTAGAAATAAGAAACATGGTTATTTCTACAGGTGAGTGTTGGGTGATGGGTACTAAATGAAGCAGCCTCACCCAAAAGTGGACTTGCAAAAATGCACATGTTCAGGTGGATACTCTGACTCACTCTAAGCAGAGTAAACGAAGAGGTGGAACCATTAGGTACTGAGATTTTAGCTGTTGGCTGATCAGGTCTGGCAATTAAGAAACACTGGCCGCCTCAACAGATGGTCAAGTGACATTGGCCTTTTGTCACTGCATATACGTCCAAAACACATTGCACTGGACTCCTGTTTTAGAAGTCAGTTTTCAAATAATAAATACAAATTTTGTAATGCTCATGTCTCTCTGGCCATTTGGCTTACAGGGATATATCCTGTAGAAATACATCTTCACAAGACTATTCAGTGCAGTGTTATTTATAATATTCATCTTACATGTGAGGAAAGTGATATGAGCAACTTGTCTGAGGTTATACAACTGAAAAGTAATAAAGCCAGGGTTTTAATGCAGTACCCTCTGACGTAAAACCCTCTGCTCATTCCTTGTACCTAGTACAACTGTCTTCAAAGCAGTTGTAGACTGTTGGGGGCTGTGTGTAGACACCAAACAGCAGCACTTGGTGAGCAGCCTTTGTACTGCGGTTACAGATAGAACAGAAACAGCAGGGCCAGGAGCCCTCAATCAGCGACCAGCCATGTGTGGCAGAGCCCAGAGAACTTACAGAACAGGGATGCATCCTCTAGAAAGGCTTCACTGCACTCTCCCAGTTCAAATCCTAAAACCTCCTGCAGTTGGAAGTGATTTGTGAGGCTCCAAAGCTTAGTGCTAGGACCAGAGAGGGAATTCTAGGAAGAAGGATTTCAGCTCATTATATAACAGTACCCCCCTTAGCTGTGGCTTTGCTTTCTGAGGTTTCACATACCCAAGTCCACTGCAGGCTAAAAATATTAAATGGGAAATTACAGAAATAAACAAGTCATAAATTTTATTTTTATTTTTTTATTTTTTTTATTTTTTGAGACAGAGTCTCGCTGTGTCACCCAGGCTGGAGTGCAGTGGTGCGATCTCGGCTCACTGAAAGCTCCACCTCCCGGGTTCACGCCATTCTCCCGCCTCAGCCTCCGAGTAGCTGGGACTACAGGCGCCCGCCACCACGCCCGGCTAGTTTTTTGTATTTTTAGTAGAGACGGGGTTTCACCATGTTAGCCAGGATGGTCTCGATCTCCTGACCTCGTGATCCACCCGCCTCGGCCTCCCAAAGTGCTGGGATTACAGGCTTGAGCCACCGCGCCTGGCCATAAATTTTAAATTATGTGCCGTTCCAAACATTATAATTGTTCTATTTTATTATTAGTTATTGTTGTTAGTCTCTGACTATGGCTAATTTATGAGTTAAATTTTATCATAGGTATGTATGTATAGGAAGAAACATAGTCTATATAGGGTTCTGTACTACCCACATTTTAGGCATCCACTGGGGGTCTTGGAACCAATTCTGCATGGATAAGCGGGGACTACCATACTGGGAAAAAAAATCGCAAAGTCCTCAGCTTCTAAATCCAATTTTCCCATTAGCTTACTGTGTAACTTTGGACAAGTCACTCATTCTCCCTGGACCTCATTTCCCTACTGTAAAAAGAGCGGATTGAGTTAGATAATCCCTAAGGTGCTGTTTAGCCCCTTCAATGATTATCTGCTAGCCATACTATCCATATTCTGGATTAGGCATCAGCTGCCCCTCAATTCTCATTTCCTCCAAGAGCCACTTTGAGGTTTGGGGGAAAAAATATTCTCACTCACCTTAAGTTCCCCTCTAAGAGTGTAGCCAACCAGAGATCTCAAATCATAGAGTTCTAGGCCGGGTCCAGTGGCTCATGCCTGTAATCCCAGCACTTTGGGAGGCCAAGGCGGGAGGATCACTTGAGGTCAGGAGTTCGAGACCAGCCTGGCCAACATGGTGAAATCCCGACTCTACTAAAAAAAAAATTAGCTGGGGCATGGTGGCATACACCTGTAGTCCCAGCTACTCGGAGGCTGAGACAGGAGGATCATTTGAACCCAGGAGGTGGAGGCTGCAGTGAGCCAAGATTGTGCCACTGCACTCCAGCCTGGGCGACAGAGCAAGACACTGTCTTAAAAAAAACCATACTAAAGGCCAGGTGCAGTGGCTCACGCTTGTAATCCCAGCACTTTGGGAGGCTGAGGTGGGTGGATCACGAGGTCAGGAGGTCAAGACCATCCTGGCTAACATGGTGAAAACCCATCTCTACTAAAAATACAAAAACATTAGCTGGGTGTGGTGGCGGGCGCTGCTCGGGAGGCTGAGGCAGGAGAAACGCTTGAACCCGGGAGGCAGAGGTTGCAGTGAGCCAAGATCACGCCACTGCACTTCAGCCTAGGCAACAGAGCAAGACTCCATCCAAAAAAAAACCATACTAAAATTTTTTTTTTAAATCAAATCATAGGGTTCTAAATTTCATTTCCCCAGAATATCTCCTCAAATATCTGGAGACAGTAGTCGGGAGACACTAAAGCATCTTTTATCTTGCTTCAGTATCTCTTAACCATTCCTGATATAAGGTGGTTTCGAGACCTTCTTCAATTTTTAAAGCATTTTCCCCTGGCTTGCTTCAGTTCGCTACTGTCCACTAGAAATGCAACACCAAAAATGAAAACAACAAAAACTTGAACACAGAACTTCTGATAGGGATTTACTAGGGCAGAGTGGAGCAGCTTCTTCTCTTCCCTCATTCTGGTCACTGTACCAATATTAATGTGTCCTGTAATCTAAAGAGCTATTTTAACAACAGTTAACTTTGCTAGTTCTTTTTCTCTGGTAGTTATTAGTTACTAGTTATTATTTACTAGTTCTTATTAGTCATTTTTCTGATGACCTATAACTAAACCTAGTCTCCCACAGTCCAGATTTTTTGTTTTAGCGGTGTATGCATGTGAATCTATACTCTAGCACAAAGAGCAAAAAAATAGAGAACCACCCTGGAACTTGTGTGTAGTTGCTGGCCAAAATATGTGCCTGTGAATATGTAACAATTAAATTGTGAAACAGTTACGGGTGGTGGTGGTGGTGGTGGTGTTTGAGACATAGTCTGGCTCTGTCACCCAGGCTGGAGTGCAGTGGCACAATCTCGGCTCACTGCAACCTCCACCTCCTGGGTTCAAGCGATTCTCATGCCTCAGCCTCCCAAGTAGCTGGGACTGCAGGCACCCACCACCATTCTCGGCTAATTTTTGTATTTGTTGTAGAGACAGAGTTTAGCCATATTGGCCAGGCTGATCTTGAACTTCTGACCTCAGGTGATCCTCCCACTTTGGCCTCCCAAAGTCCTGGGATTACAGGTGTGAGCCACCATGCCCGGCCTCAGTTACACTTCTTTAGCTGATTTAGTGTACTGTGTGTGTGTCTCCCCTTTTCCCTGCCTCTGCCTGTCATAGGAAGACCCAAGCCCACCTTCCACCCAAGACTTGGAAAACAGCTTTTCTGGATGTCACTCATGTTTGCTGTCCTCTGGCTTTACCTTATCCAGCAGCACAGCTGTGTGGAGCAGTAGAGGAAAATGAGAAATCAGCATAGAGAGAGTTATCCCCAACCTCAGATCACACAGTCCTTGCAACCTCAAAGCCAGACAAAATCTGAGAAATCATCTTGTACTTACTTCTAAAGCAAAATCCTTTCCATGACGTCTCTAAGAGCTGGTGTTCCGGCCTCATCCAGACTCTGCTTGCATGCTTCCATTCATAGAGATCATCATATTTCTCGGTTCAGTCACTGACAGCCTACCTTGTGCCAGGAGCTGTGTCAGTTACTTTCTCATATGTAATTTAATCCTCACAACACACTGTGAGGGTGCCATGCCATAGCCATATCACATTCTTCTCCATTTGACAGACCAAAAAACCGATCATTCATGAGTGTGGTGATGTTAGATCATGTGGCTTTGAGCTAGAAGGGATGGGAAGCAGAATTAGGGCTCCAGCCCCAGCATCTTTCCCTCCAGGGCACCACTTAGGAATATAGTCTTAAAGTCCTTTGAAATAATCCTCTTTTAAATGTCTAAAAGAGCAGAGGTTTAGAGGTCAGGCAGACCTGGTGTTGAATCCCCTGGCAGCTTGTAAGCACCTGAATGTCTGGATTCTGTCGTCTCTGTATCCTTCCCTGCTGGGCCTGGCATTGCTCCTGGCAGTAGTTGATACTTTTTGATTAATAATGAAGGTATGAATAATGCTGTATACATGTGTGGTACATAAACTTTCCCAAGTTATTCTTTTGACAAATAACCCACTTATTAATGCATTCGAAGTATTGGACACTGTGCAGAGGGCTATAGGAGGCATAAATATGAATTACAGAAGACTTGCCCTTAGGAGCTTTATATCTAGAAGGTAAGCTATAAATAAGATGTAGATAAGATACGTATCACAGTGTGATCTTCGCAGTAACCTCATTAGACTGATAAAGTCAGAATTATTATCCCCATCTTATAACTGGAGAAACTGAGCCCCAGCGAAGTACAGTGACTGCCATGAGTGGAGTGGCTGAGAGGCAGGGCCAAACCAGAGCCCAGGGAACCTGCCTCCGAGCTCAGCTGTTCATCTGGAGGTTGTAACTACATAGCATTGTTAGTGAAAGGAAAGAACAGGTTTTGCAAACCCTCACTGTTCTATATGTTATGGTCTGAAAATCTACCTGATACTGCTTTTCCCTTCTTCAAACCCCATCCTCATCTTCCTGTCCTCTCAAGGATACAGTATACTTGCCCCATCGCAGCGCCCTCCAGCTCACTTACATTTTATTTATTTATACGTATTTCTCTCTCCTTTCTCCTCCAGGTTGTGATCAATTATTCAATCGTGAAAGGGCTGAAGTACAATCAGGCCACGCCAACCTTCCACCAGTGGCGAGATGCCCGCCAGGTCTACGGCTTAAACTTTGCAAGTAAAGAAGAGGCAACCACGTTCTCCAATGCAATGCTGTTTGCCCTGAACATCATGAATTCCCAAGAAGGAGGTAAGTAGGACTTTGTCTTGGCCTGATGCCGAGACCCTCTCTTGTTCTACCTCTGCCCTCCCACAGCTCTGGCTCTCTGGGTGTCCTAGCACTGTCACTGCGTTGAGCCGAGGTTGCATGTGTTCTCAGAGAAAGCTGCTGCCTGCCTCTAGATTTAGAGATACAACAGTTCAGAGGAGGAAAGAATGGAGTTTGTATCTCTTTGCCACTTGTGAGATGTAGATTTGTACAGATGTGTCCCTGAAGCTGCATATCCAGATCTGTTTTAAACTTGCCATCCTGTTTCCGTATTCCAGAACAATCGTTTGAGAGAGATGGGAGAAAACAATCAAGACTTTATTTTTGAATTTAATTATTCATTCATATGTTTAACAAAAGTTTATTAAATACTTAGGGCAAGAAACTGTGTTGGCAAAATAGATAAGAAGTGAACAGCGGCCTTCCCCTCAAGGCTCTTAGTTTTTCAGGGTAGACAGGTTCTCAAACAGCTAAGTGGAATGTATTGCAGTAAGTGTTTTAATAAAGGTACGTGTAAGGTACTTAGGGACCACAGAATAGGATGTAAGTAACTGCCCGTCAAAGCCGCCAAGGGAGACTTCCACAGTGGTGGTGCCATATGAGCCGGAGTTCTGGGTGAGCAGGTCACAGGCAGAGGCTGGAGTGGGCATCGCAGGAAAAGCAGCGAAGGCAGAAGGGCCGGAGTGAGCCCACATGTGCTGGGAAGAGGGCGATGCAGCATTTCTGGGGCCTGGAGTGCCGATAGGAAAGAGATTGGAAATGAAATTGGAACGGCGCTGGGGCTTGCACAGTGAAAGGCCCCAAATACTGGAAGACGTTGGGCTGGCTTGATACTTAGGGTAGACCATGGGAGAGGGACTAGCAAAAAGTTTTTCAGCAGGGCAGTTAAAGCAAAGAACCAAAATTACGTGTGGCTTTTATTGGACATTTGCAGTGGTAGCTTTGGAGGGAGAAACAAGGCTTTCCCAGGATGGGTGTCTTGATTGCCTGGGTTATGGTCCTGCCGTTGGCTGGAGAGCCTACCTTGGGAGAACTTGGTGGTTAAGAACCAGGCATGGAGTCACACTGGTCAGTTCGAGTCCTGGTTCTGACATATGCTAGCAGAGGAACTCCTGAGCAAGTTACTGAATGTTTTTGTGCCTCAATTTCCTTACCTATAAAATGGGGGGACATAGGGTTGTTTTTACATTTAAATGAACTAGAATGTAAAATGTTTCTTAGGTTGCCTGGCCTAGTAACAACTCTATTAGCATTTGTGAGTATTATTACGATCATTATTGTTGCTGCTGCTGTTACTGCTACCAGAATTGAGGTGGGAAATGAAGAGACACAGTACTCAGGACCTGGAGGGCTATGGCATTTAAATATGTCCTGGGACCAGGCTTGCTGGCTCAGGCCTATAATCCTAACACTTTGAGAGACCAAGGAAGAAGGATCACTTGAGGTCCAGAGTTCAAGACCAACCTGGGCAACATAACAAGACCCTGTCTCTACAAAAAAAAAAGAAAAAAATGTGTGTACAGAGCCTGATATGTGGGAGCTTTAGGACCCGCTTTAAGCTCTAGGAGATCTGGGCATGGTGGTGCATTATGCCTGCAGATCGTGAGGCTGAGGTAGAAGAATCACTTGAGTCCAAGAGTTTGAGTCCAGCCTGGACAGCATTGTGAGAGCCTGTCTCTTACACACACATACACACACACACACACACACACCCCCGCTCTCTCTCTCTCTCTCTCTCTCTCGGAGAGTTTTGTGGGTTTTTTAAGTAAATAAAGAACATGTTTTGAGCATGCTTCCCACGGGTCGTGCATAGAGCAGGTACTTGCAGCTTTCCCTTCTTGACAATGCTCCAAAGTTTGTGGACTTTCTGCTTAGTACTTGGATAGCATCGTAAAGAAGCATCTTAACCGTGGCAGTGTTGAGTGATGATTACAGGGCCTGAGGCATCGTAAGCGCCCGGCAAATGTTTACGAAACTGCAAATGTTTACGAAACTGTTTCCACCCAAGAACCGTGAGCTGAGTTTAACATTTCCACCTGAACTTACCTCGCCTGCCTCCAGGATGTGGGAGTTAAGCTTTATTTTACTTGTACATGCAGTTACCTTGAGGGCAAAAAAAAAAAAAAAAAGGCACTTTCAGAGCTAGTGCTTAAATTAAGTAAAAACTACTAGTTATTTTATTAAATTCACCAGATAATCACAGGTAACTCAGTTAATCCTGCCCTCATTTTCAGATAAGAAAGCCATGCCCCATTATGAGGAAATAACTTCTCAGTGTCAGATGGTGAGATCCAGAACCCGACCTCCTACATCCCCTGGGATTGAATGAGTGTCTTGTTGAGGCAGGGGTGGGAGACATCAGCTAGTTTGGATGTGTGCATACAATGTGAGAGTACCCTGGTTTGAAGCTTTCATGAGGGGGAACAGTTAGTTATCCATTCTGGTTCAGCTGGCAGTGGCCTCCTTTGCATGGACTGGAGGTCCTACAGCCCACTGACGAATAAGCTTTTGCTTCAGCCGAGGTCCAAGTCTACTGACAGTACCATGCGCAGATGCGCAGATGCAGCTTGATGAGCTGTTACACACGTGCGTGCTCGGTTCCCAGTGCCAGACCGAGAAAGAAAATGTGGTCAGCACCGAAAGGCCCCTTCCCGCAGTCCCTGAACTTAAGAATAGATAGGAAGTCCACTTTTGTTTTTGAGCGTCATGTAAATGAAATCATACAGTGTGCATGATTAGCTTGGCTTGTTGGCATGTGTCTGTAGTCTCAACTACTTGGGAGGCTGAGGCTTGAGCCCAGGAGGCAGAGGTTGCAGTGAGCCAAGATTGCACCACTGCACTCCAGCCTGTGTGACAGAGCAAGAGTCTGTCTCAAAAAAAAAAAAGGAAGTATGAACCTTCCAATATTTATGTGGCTAAGGTAGTCTGCTGAGGACCATGCAAAGATAATGCCATGATGTAAGCACCATCTACTTGGAAACATGTTGATTGTCCCATTTTCCACGATTACCCTCATGTGGTAGAGGGCATTCTTGTATTTTTATGTGTATGTGTACTTTGTATCTCATGTGTCCATACTTGTATGCTTGTCCAGTTATTTTCCTTGGGCATGTTTCTGTGTCAAACAATATATGTGCTTTTCAAGTTTTGAGTCCAGGCATGGTGGCTCATGCCTGTAATCCCAGCACTTTGGGAGGCCAAGGTGGGCAGATCACCTGAGGTCAGGAGTTCGAGACCAGCCCAGCCAACCTTGTCTCTACTAAAAAGACAAAATTAGGCCGGGTGCAGTGGCTCACACCTGTAATCCCAGTACTTTGGGAAGCTGAGGCAGGCGGATCACCTGAGGTTGGGAGTTCAAGACCAGCCTGACAAACATAGAGAAACCCCATCTCTACTAAAAATATAAAATTAGACGGGCATGGTGGCACATACCTGTAATCCCAGTTACTCGGGAGGGTGAAGCAGGAATCGCTTGAGCCCAGGAGGCGGAGGTTGCGGTGAGCTGAGATTGCACGATTGCACTCCACTCTGGGCAACGAGAGGGAAACTCCATCTCAAAAAAAAAAAAAGACAAAATTAGCTGGGCGTGGTGACACATGCCTATAATCCCAGCTACTTGGGAGGCTGAGGCAGGAGAATCACTTGAACCCAGGTGGCAGAGGTTGCAGTAAGCTGAGATGTACACCATTATGCTCCAGCCTGGGCAACAAGAGTAAAACTCCGTCTCAAAAAATAAATAAATAAAAATTAGAAAATAAAGTTTTGAGAAGTCTCGCCAAATGCCTTCTAGCATGAACATCCTGGTTTACACGCTGTCCAGCAAGAGACAGTTGCCCACCCCTCAGACTTCATAAGCACTAGGCATTAATACTCTCATTAATCTTTGTAAACACAAGAGAAGGGAAAACATTTTGATTTGCATTTTTCTTTTTTGGGGAGGATGGAGTCTTGCTGTCACTCAGGCTGGAGTGCAGTGGCACTGTCTCGGCTCACTGCAACCTCTGCCTCCTGGGTTCGAGCGATTACCTTGCCTCAGCCTCCTGAGTAGCTGTGACTACAGGCGCCCACCACCATGCCTGGCTACTTTTTGTATTTTTAGTAGAGACAAGGTTTCACCATGTTGGCTAGGCCTGTCTGGAACTCCTGACCTCAAGTGATCCGCCCGCCTCAGCCTCCCAAATGCTGGGATTGCAGGTGTGAGCCACCACGCCTGGTCTGACTTGCATTTTTCTTTACTGGTAAGGATGAACATTTTTCATACATTAGTAGGCAATTTCATCTTTTCCATTATTTTCATCAGTACCTTTGACAAATGCAGCACAGCATGGAGGAACACAGCCTCCTTGCACCTTTTGTTATATCTGCATGATTTCCCACTCCCCAGGTGCGTGCATCCTCTAATGACAAAGCAATCTTGTATTTCCTTCCGCAAATGAATGGAGGCAGCCTCATGTCATGTGGTATGTTCCAGGCTCATGATAGAGGATAAGTACACCTCTTTGACTGTCAGGTGATGTCTACGTTGCCTACATTTTAGGAGTTACTGTTATTTGTGTTTGTCGTTCCTTGGACCTTTCCTTCTGCTGGAGAAGCTTCTTGTTTAGCGCCTAGAGTCATGTTGGTGGGTCACAGATTCCTTGGCTCTTCCTCGTCTGGCTTCTGAAAGAGACGCCATCTGGTGTAATGGTGGGGAAGGGCGAGCTAGCAGCTAGGAGACCTAGATTCCTCCAGAAGTGCCAGAGGGAGGATTGGCATTTTCTTTCTCCCGTGCCGGCCCACACCCACCCGTTTCTCTCCTCTCCTTAAAGGGCACTTCCGACCAGAGTATTTCTCTGCTGCCTGCTGATCTTGGCACCCACCATTGTACTGTCACCTACTTTTAAAAATGTACAGAAAAGCTGGGCACGGTGGCTCATGCCTGTAATCCCACCACTTTGGGAGGCTGAGGCGGGCGGATCACGAGGTCAAGACATGGCGTGGTG